CCGTCAGCCACGTGTACAGTCCGTACCATACCTGTCAGCCACGTGTACAGTCTGTACCATAGCCGTCAGCCACGTGTACAGTCCGTACCATACCTGTCAGCCACGTGTACAGTCTGTACCATACCCGTCAGCCACGTGAACAGTCCGTACCATACTCGTCAGCCACATGCACAGTCTGTACCAGACCCGTCAGCGACGTGTACAGTCCGTACCAGACCCACCAGCCACGTGTACAGTCTGTACCATACTCGTCAGCCACATGTACAGTCTGTACCAGACCTACCAGCCACGTGTACAGTCTGTACCATACTCGTCAGCAACGTGTACAGTCTGTACCATACCCGTCAGCAACTGTACAGTCTGTACCATGTCTGGTACAGTCCGTACCATACCCGTCAGCCACATGTACAGTCTGTACCATACCCGGCAGCCACGTTTACAGTCTGTACCATACCCGTCAGCTACATGTACAGTCTGTACCAGACCCGTCAGCCACGTGTACAGTCCGTACCAGACCCGTCGGCCACGTGTACAGTCCATACCATACCCGTCAGCCACGTGTACAGTCCGTACCATTCCCGTCAGCCACATGTACAGTCCGTACCATACTCGTCAGCCACATGTACAGTCTGTACCAGACGCGTCAGCCACGTGTACAGTCCGTACCATACTCGTCAGCCACATGTACAGTCTGTACCATACTTGTCAGCCCCATGTACAGTCTGTACCATACCCGTCAGCCACATGTACAGTCTGTACCATACCCGGCAGCCACGTTTACAGTCTGTACCATACCCGTCAGCTACATGTACAGTCTGTACCAGACCCGTCAGCCACGTGTACAGTCCGTACCAGACCCGTCAGCCACGTGTACAGTCCATACCATACCCGTCAGCGACGTGTACAGTCCGTACCATACTCGTCAGCCACATGTACAGTCTGTACCAGACCCGTCAGCCACGTGTACAGTCCGTACCAGACCCGTCAGCCACGTGTACAGTCCATACCATACCTATCAGCCACGTGTACAGTCCGTACTAGACGCGTCAGCCACGTGTACAGTCCGTACCAGACCCACCAGCCACGTGTACTGTCCGTACCAGACCCGTCAGCCACGTGTTCAGTCCGTACCAGACCCGTCAGCTACGTGTACAGTCCGTTCCATACCCGTCAGTCACATGTACAGTCCGTACCATACTCATCAGCCACATGTACAGTCTGTACCAGACGCGTCAGTGCCGTGTACAGTCAGTACCAGACCCGTCAGCCACGTGTACAGTCCGTACCAGACCCGTCAGCCACGTGTACAGTCTGTACCAGACCCGTCAGCCACGTGTACAGTCTGTACCAGACCCGTCAGCCACGTGTACAGTCTGTACCATACCCGTCAGCCACGTGTACAGTCTGTACTATACCCGTCAGCAACGTGTACAGTCTGTACCATACCCGTCAGCCCCGTGTACAGTCTGTACCATACCCGTCAGCCACGTGTACAGTCTGTACCATACCTGTCAGCCAAGTGTACAGTCTGTACCATACCCGTCAGCCACGTGTACAGTCCGTACCATACTCGTCAGCCACATGTACAGTCTGTACCATACTTGTCAGCCACATGTACAGTCTGTACCAGACCCACCAGCCACGTGTACAGGCCGTACCAGACCCACCAGCCACGTGTACAGGCCGTACCAGACCCACCAGCCACGTGCACAGTCCGTACCAGACCCACCAGCCACGTGTACAGGCCGTACCAGACACGTGTACAGGCCGTACCAGACCCACCAGCCAGTGTACAGGCCGTACCAGACCCACCAGCCACGTGTACAGGCCGTACCAGACCCACCAGCCACGTGTACAGGCCGTACCAGACCCACCAGCCACGTGTACAGTCCGTACCAGACCCACCAGCCACGTGTACAGTCCGTACCAGACCCACCAGCCACGTGTACAGGCCGTACCAGACCCACCAGCCACGTGTACAGGCCGTACCAGACCCACCAGCCACGTGTACAGGCCGTACCAGACCCACCAGCCACGTGTACAGGCCGTACCAGACCCACCAGCCACGTGTACAGTCCGTACCAGACCCACCAGCCACGTGTACAGTCCGTTCCAGACCCACCAGCCACGTGTACAGGCCGTACCAGACCCACCAGCCACGTGCACAGTCCGTACCAGACCCACCAGCCACGTGTACAGGCCGTACCAGACCCACCAGCCACGTGTACAGTCCGTACCAGACCCACCAGCCACGTGTACAGGCCGTACCAGACCCACCAGCTACGTGTACAGGCCGTACCAGACCCACCAGCCACGTGTACAGGCCGTACCAGACCCACCAGCCACGTGTACAGGCCGTACTATACCAGTAATAATAGCGGCCTCGTAGTCCCGCCGTGGTGTAGCATCTTCATGTGATCACAATTTACCTGTGGAAGTGTTACATCCTAACATTTACAAACAACAGATATAATACAACTGTAATACATGAGTATAAAGTATAATAATAATAGATTCTTACCTTAGTGGATGGTTTTATCTGGCATCGCAACGATTCATCCTAGACACTGAAATAATTGGTTGATAAATCTATGCTAATAGAAAAAAAAACAAATTTTGCACTTTCCTCAATTTTGTCAAGTCGTTGCAACAAGTAGTGACTGCTTGTAGGTCACGCTGCGGTCTAGTACTTGCGGGTAGAGTTAGTGACCGATGTGGGAGGCTCGGTTTGTCGACACCAATACCACACCAAGTTGATTCACTCTCCTGTGTAAGTGCACGAATGGCGTCTCTTCCTCCGCGCGCGTCACCTCATGATGCGCTTTATATCGAGAACTGGGAGGAGGGTTTTGTTTAATTTCATTAAGCAATTTAATGTGTAATTTATTTAAAGGATTAGTTTGATACTATTCCTAGTCTTGAGACTGGTGATTTTTATATTAAATTAGCTAGAAACGTTTAGAGATCGAGATGTAGACGACTCAGGATATATTAATCCAGATATTAATTAATTATTTTCTCATTCTGGAACAAAGTTGTCATTTTCGTCATCTCTTTCATGTCTAACTAAAACATTTTATTCATACTTAAACTGATACAAACCAACATTTATTAAAATTTATGAATGTCCCACATATCTTCATGTTCCAGTGGCGGCTGGCAATTGCTAGTACTTCTCCATCTTTTGTGTATATGGTGTAAGGTTGTGTGAGTATCATTCTGTATCCAATCCGTCCTCTTAGAAATATTGTCGCTTTTCGCTCCTATGCGCGCTAAGGCCAAAAGTGGACTTAATTTGAAATGAAATCGATTCACAAAAGTGACGTACAGTCCAGTTTTCTGTTTGAGTCGTCCGGCCTACTCGGAAAGGTTAGGAGAGGAAACTTTCAATTAACGTTTTGAAACTTTATGAGAATTTCCTGCCCACCTAACCTACCAGAAGATCCTTAACTTACTGTTGTTAAAAAAATTATTTTCATTATTTTCTCATTTTAAAATTAGGTCCACTTTCAGACATACGGATAAACGGCCAAACACGACGTTATTTTTAAGAGGAGAGGTTGAGTATCACGTGACCTGAGAATATTGCTTTATCCACAATTGGTAAGTACAAGTGTAACTGATATAACAATGGACTATTTTCCATTTAAGAATACTCCTCATGTATATTAAATTTCAGTATTAATATTATGAGTATTAAGGTATACCTGTGTGTTATATAAGTCCAAATTTAGTGGGTCTAATAATCCTTGGTAAAGTTCTCGGTTGATACTATCAGAGCCATGTTCAATATACATATATTTTTGTGTACGTCTAACTTTAAGGCTATGATGTACCCACTAATTGTACCCACTGTACAGTTAGACATTAACATGTCCCCTTGACCTAGTGTCTTAACACAGACTGGCCCCTGACAGGGAGAGGAGCGTGTGATCCTGTCCAGGTGAGTCTGGTTAAACAATGACTATAAGAACTACTGAAGGGCAGACTCTATATGTACATTACTCTTTAGTAAGGTCGGGTATTAGTACTCGTACTCTGATACAAGTAGGAATAAGCTCGTGTCCACACGACATAAGAGCCCGTCCCCCGACAACCTTACCTTGAGGTTACCTTGAGGTGCTTCCGGGGCTTAGCGTCCCCGCGGCCCGGTCGTCGACCAGGCCTCCTGGTTGCCGGACTGATCAACCAGGCTGTTGGCCGCGGCTGCTCGCAGCCTGACGTATGAGTCACAGCCTGGTTGATCAGGTATCCTTTGGAGGTGCTTATCCAGTTCTCTCTTGAACACTGTGAGGGGTCGGCCAGTTATGCCCCTTATGTGTAGTGGAAGCGTGTTGAACAGTCTCGGGCCTCTGATGTTAATAGTTCTCTCTCAGAGTACCTGTTGCACCTCTGCTTTTCAACGGGGGTATTCAGCACATCCTGCCATGTCTTCTGGTCTCATGTGATGTTATTTCTGTGTGCAGGTTTGGGACCAGCCCCTCTAATATTTTCCACCTGTAAATTATTATGTATCTCTCCCGCCTGCGCTCAAGGGAGTACAGTTTTAGGCTCTTTAGTCGGGCCCAATAGTTTAGATGTTTTACTGAGTGGATTCTAGCAGTAAAGGATCTCTGCACGCTCTCCAGGTCAGCAATTTCTCCAGCTTTGAAACTGGCTGTCATTGTGCAGCAGTACTCCACTCTAGAGTGGAGTACAATACAATATTCGTTAAACAGAACCAAGGAATAAGCAGCATGCATACGTCACGAGAGGTTGTTAACTTAGTTCTGGCTCAACGTATACGAAGTACACAACATTAGTGTAGAGTTAAATCCCTCCATCAATGTTCAAGAATTTTTTCCGAGAAAGTAACTGTTAAGGGACGGCTTTCAACCTGAGTAAGTTCTCGATCATCCAGTACATAAGCGAAACATTAAAGGTTTACTCACCTACAAACTTGTGATGATTCACCATGAACAAGAAGAGCGACATTTGTCTAAGACTGTGACATTGTGCAGGTTGAGGGTGGACCAGGAGAGATGTACGAGCAGCTGCTGGGTGTGATCAGCCTGTGTGACGACACCCAGCAGGCGGGTCAGCTGTTGTGGTCAGGAGCGTCCCTGGAGCCCCTGGGATGCTGGAGCGTCTCCCCGCTGTGTCTGGCCGTCACCAGTAACCGGTGCAGGATCACCACCCTCCTGCTGGCAGCTGGAGCCCCGCTCACCACCACCTCCCACGGCCTCAACCTGCTGACACTAGCTTGGTGCTCCCCCGACGTCACTCCCCGTCTTCAGGTCACCATCACGCGGGTGAGTGTCCACCATACACCAGTTGGTATAGTGTCCACCATATACCAGTTGGTATAGTGTCCACCATACACCAGTTAGTATAGTGTCCACCATACACCAGTTGCTATAGTGTCCACCATACACCAGTTGGTATAGTGACCATCATACACCAGTTGGTATAGTGACCGCCATACTCCAGTTGGTATAGTGTCCACCATACACCAGTTGGTATAGTGTCCACCATACACCATTTGGTATATTCTCCACCATACACCAGTTGGTATAGTGTCCACCATACACCAGTTGGTATAGTGTCCACCATACACCAGTTGGTATAGTGTCCACCATACACCATTTGGTATATTCTCCACCATACACCAGTTGGTATAGTGTCCACCATACACCAGTTGGTATAGTGTCCACCATACACCAGTTGGTATAGTGTCCACCATACACCAGTTGGTATAGTGACCGCCATACACCATGTACTTGGTATAGTGTCCACCATACACCAGTTGGTATATTCTCCACCATACACCAGTTGGTATAGTGTCCACCATACACCAGTTGGTATAGCGACCGCCGTACACCAGTTGGTATAGTGACTGCCATACTCCAGTTGGTATAGTGTCCACCATACACCAGTTGGTATAGTGTCCACCATACACCAGTTGGTATAGTGACCACCATACACCAGTTGGTATAGTGTCCACCATACACCAGTTGGTATAGTGACCACCATACACCAGTTGGTATAGTGACCACCATACACCAGTTGGTATAGTGTCCACCATACACCAGTTGGTATAATGTCCACCATACACCAGTTTGTATAGTGACCGCCATACACCAGTTGGTATAGTGTCCACCATACACCAGTTGGTATAGTGTCCACCATACACCAGTTGGTATAGTGTCCTCCATACACCAGTTGGTATAATGTCCACCATACACCAGTTGGTATAGTGACCACCATACACCAGTTGGTATAGTGTCCACCATACACCAGTTGGTATAATGTCCACCATACACCAGTTTGTATAGTGACCGCCATACACCATTTGGTATATTCTCCACCATACACCAGTTGGTATAGTGACCACCAAACACCAGTTGGTATAGTGTCCACTATACACCAGTTGATATAGTGTCCACCATACACCAGTTGCTATAGTGTCCTCCATACACCAGTTGGTATAATGTCCACCATACACCAGTTGGTATAATGTCCACCATACATCAGTTGGTATAGTGTCCACCATACACCAGTTGGTATAGTGTCCACCATACATCAGTTGGTATAGTGTCCACCATACACCAGTTGGTATAGTGTCCTCCATACACCAGTTGGTATAATGTCCACCATACTCCAGTTGGTATAGTGTCCACCATACACCAGTTGGTTTAGTGTCCTCCATACACCAGTTGGTATAATGTCCACCATACACCAGTTGGTATAGTGTCCACCATACACCAGTTGGTATATTCTCCACCATACACCAGTTGGTATAGTGTCCACCATACACCAGTTGGTATAGTGTCCACCATACACCATTTGGTATATTCTCCACCATACACCAGTTGGTATAGTGACCACCAAACACCAGTTGGTATAGTGTCCACTATACACCAGTTGATATAGTGTCCACCATACACCAGTTGGTATAGTGTCCACCATACACCAGGTGGTATAGTGACCACCATACACCAGTTGGTATAGTGTCCACCATACACCAGTTGGTATAGTGACCACCATACACCAGTTGGTATAGTGTCCACCATACACCAGTTGGTATAATGTCCACCATACACCAGTTTGTATAGTGACCGCCATACACCATGCAGTTGGTATAGTGTCCACCATACATCAGTTGGTATAGTGTCCACCATACACCAGTTGGTATAGTGTCCTCCATACACCAGTTGGTATAATGTCCACCATACACCAGTTGGTATAGTGTCCACCATACACCAGTTGGTTTAGTGTCCTCCATACACCAGTTGGTATAATGTCCACCATACACCAGTTGGTATAGTGTCCACCATACACCAGTTGGTATATTCTCCACCATACACCAGTTGGTATAGTGTCCACCATACACCAGTTGGTATAGTGTCCACCATACACCATTTGGTATATTCTCCACCATACACCAGTTGGTATAGTGACCACCATACACCAGTTGGTATAGTGTCCACTATACACCAGTTGATATAGTGTCCACCATACACCAGTTGGTAGTGTCCACCATACACCAGGTGGTATAGTGACCACCATACACCAGTTGGTATAGTGTCCACCATACACCAGTTGGTATAGTGACCACCATACACCAGTTGGTATAGTGACCACTGTTACGGTGCCCTCTCCTATTTCTTACGTTTGCCGGCTTAAAGAGTCATATCAGCTCTCCCTACTGATTCTCTGAGGTTCAGGGAGTCTAATGATATATGTGGCGACCAGACTGGCTGCCAGTTAAGGGAAGGAAGTTACATTATAAGTTGTAAATAAAGGGAAATTGGCGCCCTGTTATAAAATGAAAGAGTATCCCCTAATGCAGATATGACCTTTTGGAAGGGACACTAGCCGATCGCGGATTGGCCGACTTAGGTCGCGGGCGACCAATCAGGGCCCGCCGTGACGTCACCGAGTGCCCCGGGCGGCGCCAACGTCAGAGTTGATCCGACCTTGGAAGCGACAGGACGCGCCTCGGTCTGCTCTCAAGGATTAGAGGCTCTACAAGCCTTTTTCAGTGGATTAAACTAGCCATCGCAGCCCACCATAAGTTATTGGAGACCCTGCGCTTCTGGGAAGCAAAAAAGGAACCAAGTTCATTGAGCAGAGAAGTGCCAAACTTGGAAAATAGTCGGCGACGACGCTGGGGCGGCGCCGCTGGACGTTGAGGTCTGGAAGGTGCGGCGGGCAGGCCTAGCTGTGACCGGGTCACATCCACTGAGAATCTTGGAAGGACGACACCGTGCCTAGGACAAGGAGCAACGCCTTGTGGAAGGGGCGAGTGTGGGAAAAATAGTGATTAGCTCAGCGCCCATCGATGAACCAGGATTGGGGCAGCTGAATCTCAGGGATTGGAACGGCGACGACGCGAAGGCTCCACGACACCTGAGGACCTGTGGAACGTCCTGGATCGTCAAGGATCGACCCAAGGAAGCGTGGGAACCTCACACCATCGAGGGACAGGCGTCGTGAGCTAGGAATGTAAGGTAGATCATTTTCCCTCCCATTACCCCTTGTGTGAGTAGGCTAGTTAGGCCACAATAGTTACTTATGTATGTGGCAACAGGACATTAATACTTTAGTAGTAGAGTAGGCTGCAAGGCAGCTTGTGTCCAGGACTGTCAGAGAGGACGGTGTGTATGGATGGCAGGACAGTGAAGAAGAGGCGCCGACGTGGTGAAGAGGCCCTCCTGTGAGAGTGTGGGACTCCTGTCTTTCTGCCCAGTTGAAGGAGTGTTGGAGGTCGTGGAAGAAGAGGCTGACGATCTCCAGACTTATTATCCATATTTCCATATTCATGTATTACTTGTGTTTGTGTGTGTTCATGTAATTTGCATCAGTAAATTGTCTGGCAGGCAAGACTCAGGGAGGTTATTGTTATAAGGTAAGCCTGAGTCTTCCTTCACTCCTCCACGGGTCTAGGCCGGAACTGTTAACAGCAGTTTCCTCGTGTTTGACTGAAGGGCTTCCAGGGTGAATCAGTGGCACCCCCTTTTGTGGTGGAAGCAAAGACCTGCGGAGGTGGGCATTGTTGGTCCTCTCTTGTGTGCCCAAGGAGACTCCGGTGAATCCCGGGAGTCGGAGGGGCTGAGTATTTGGGCCTTTTGAGCCCCTAGCAGCCGAGTGCTAGCAGAGCCCCGGCCCACCCACCTCCACGTGACACCACTATACACCAGTTGGTATAGTGTCCACCATACACCAGTTGGTATAGTGTCCACCATACACCAGTTGGTATAGTGTCCACCATACACCAGTTGGTATAGTGACCACCATACACCATTTGGTATAGTGACCACCATACACCAGTTGGTATAGTGTCCACCATACACCAGATGGTATAGTGACCACCATACACCAGTTGGTATAGTGTCCACCATACACCATTTGGTATAGTGTCCTCCATACACCAGTTGGTATAGTGTCCACCATACACCAGGTAGTATAATGTCCACCATACACCAGTTGGTATAGTGTCCTCCATGCACCAGTTGGTATAGTGTCCACCATACACCAGTTGGTATAATGTCCACCATACACCAGTTGGTATAGTGTCCTCCATGCACCAGTTGGTATAGTGTCCACCATACACCAGTTGGTATAGTGTCCACCATGCACCAGTTGGTATAGTATCCACCATACACCAGTTGGTATAGTGTCCACCATACACCAGTTGGTATAGTGTCCACCATACACCAGTTGGTATAGTGTCCTCCATACACCAGTTGGTATAGTGTCCACCATACATCAGGTAGTATAATGTCCACCATACACCAGTTGGTATAGTGTCCACCATACACTAGTTGGTATAGTGTCCACCAGACACTAGTTGGTATAGTATATAATATAGTATAGTGGGTGTGGGTATCTGGCTAACTGTGAACGCCAAGAAATCCGGACTCCACCTGCCAAAGATCATTGGGGAATATAAACCTGGATATGCGTATGGAAATGTCAAGACGCACAAGCCTGGAAACCCACTTCGGCCAATCATTAGCCAGATACCCACACCCACGTACAGACTGGCGAAGCGACTCAACGGCCTGCTGACTCCTTATGTTCCTTGCGCCTTCAGCCTGAAGTCTCCAAAGGAATTTGTTGACTTACTGCGGGGCACACGGGCCACAGGGATAAGAGCCTCGTTGGACGTAGAATCGCTGTTTACCAACGTACCTGTGGACGAGACAATCGGAATGATAGCCGACATCGTGTATCGTGATCCAGCCTGTACTCCTCTAGACATACCAGAAAATATTCTGAGGAAACTACTCCAAGCTTGTACTAAAGA